GCTAGATGAGATCCTGAAGCAATGATGATTTATGTGAAGAAGGATATGAGGAAGCCAAATTGTTTTCCTCACTCCACAATCCTTTGTCGCTAAGTAAATTAGTATCTTTTCTTAACTAACGAACAAAGGATAATGTCTTATTTCACTGTGTATGTGGAATGTGACAGTCTCTTCTGAGGTCTTCTTAGCTCCAACAGATAGAACCATTTGTTAGAAGCTTATATAAGGACTTTAAGGTATCAAAAACACAGTAAACAATAACTCTATGTATCTAGAAAACAGATTCTTTTTAAAGAAAAACCTTGGATAGCTAAATGGAATACTCAGGAAGGGCCAAGAACAGGAAGGGTACCTTGGTCCTGTGAATGCTCCAGTCAGTGTGAACTCCTACTATGACAGGTAGCCAATGACTCTAATACGGTTCACTCAGAAATACAAATGGCACACACAATGAACAGGGCCTGTGTTATTTACAGGCACTTCAGCGAAAATGAAACTAATAATATTGTTTAAGAAAAATTAGTAAACATTACATTTTAATATGCAGAAACTTAAAGATGTAAATCACGGTATATTCTAATGTCTATCATCTAAATGAATTTGAAACCAAAATCATTTCATCTAATTTTGTTATTGTGAGCCAACTTATCAAAATGAAGCTGCTCACTGTTGACAAATCCACAGCATATAAGAACTACAAAGGAGTTTCAAAATTACTGAGCCCATGATTTTTTTATAACCTGTTTTCAAATGGTACACTGATTGACAGTATCAACATTATATATAAGATTAGTCCAGCTATTGAAGAGACTTTGATTTTAGTGATGTTAAGTTTGTCAAACATGCAAAGAGAGGAAGAACTGGATTGTGTCCATCAGCATGTGTGTCCTGCTTGAGTTCTCCTTGTGAAAGAACCTCAGATTGTAGGTGGTTAGAATCAGGCAAAATGAAGATTCAAAGATGCAATTCCTACAATTTGAGGTTCTCAATGAATATCCAAATATATGTAAAACATTCAAATGTAGAAAATTTTCCTGTGATGTGAGATATTTTAACACCAATCTTCTAACACAATAAATTATTTTAAATCCTAGTACTGGAAACTATGCAGAATAGATGGCTTCTAACTATAAGTAACACCAGTTTCGATTTAATAAGAATCCACAGGCAGGATTACAAAAAGAAATAATTTTACAATAAACACAGCTAGGTTGGAGAGAAAGGTAGGTAGGAAAGAAATGCTACACACATACACTCACATGTTACACACATGCACTCTTTTGCACACACACTTACACAATACACACTAACATGCATACATTAACACATACACACACATTCACTAACACACAAGCTCACACACATTTACACATTCACATACATAAACACACACATACACACTCACACACATTCACACGCTCATACACATATACACACTCATATACATACATACATATAGACACATATAAACACAAACACAAATAATACATTTAAAAAATAAACTTAAATATACTAAATTACTTAGTATTATTGATGATTAAATAAAAATGATGATAATATTTTGGTGCTAAAAATTTACATTTTGAATCACATATTTCTCTGCATTGCCTAAAGTAAACATATATAGAAATAGAAAACCATACAATCAGAAAAATATTTATCAACTTTTCAAATTTGTATAAATGGAACTTTCACTGAATTTACATAACACAGAGTAGGAATATGCTCTTGTTGCATGAATATTAAAAACCCAGAGACAGAAAGGGGTTCAACTTGAAAACAAACAAACAAACAAACAAACAAAAAACAAAGTAGTCAAACCACTAGAGAAGTCTTAAACTCTACCAAGGCTGGGCGACCAAAAAACTAAGCAGACTAAACCTCTCTGTCCTCCCATTAAAGGTGTGAGCCAACACCATCTAGATGTGTTTCTGCTTTGATCTTGTGTAGACCAGGGTGGCCTTGAAATCACAGAGATTCATCTGACTCTGTCTCCCAAATCCTGGGATTAAGGTATTTGTCACCATTGCCTGATCTCTGGTGGCTTTAGCTTTGCCTCTGGTCTTCAGTCAAGAATTATTTATCACAATACAAATAATATACCACTACATGTTCTTTCTCAGAAAATCTCTCTTTCTCTCTTTCTCTCTCTCTCTCCCTGTCTCTCTGTCTCTCTCTGTCTCTGTCTCTGTCTCTCTCTCTCTCTCTCTATATATATATATATATATGTGTGTGTGTGTGTGTGTGAACATATATAATACTATATATATATTATTATTTTAATTGAACCTTTTGAGAGTGCAAATAATCATGACAATTTCATCTAATAAAGAGTAAACATGGAGTATAAAAAAGAAATCACGATGAGTCCGGAGCTCTAAACACAAGTAACAGCCATTGAACATTCTGGAAAATGATATTTTCCAGCTCTTGAGACAACCACAATTGTTTTTAACTTTTTTTTTAACTTTGACCAATGAACTAGCCCAAAGTTGCTAAAATCCAAGTTGCAGTACTTTGAATTCTAGAAGTGTAGCCACACTTTGCTGATTTTCTCAATCTTCTTCATTTCAGAAGTCTATCCACAGTGATTTCCTACCCACTTATTAAAAATTGAAAGACAACAGCTATAAACACTTAGAAATAACAGGCAGCCCTCTTGAAGTGAACAGATGAGGATGTTTTCAATGTTTGCCTGGAGTTTCTGACAATCATCTATATCTTAATCTCCCCAATTTTTGTTGGGACTTGCTTACAACAGTCTGACTATGTGAGCAGTAATTGAAACATCGGTTTTGAAGTAACCAATTCACTCCTGCCACCTTGTCACCTAAGTTGATAAGAAGACAGTAGCTGAACATCTTTCACTGAATCGATTTCTCTCATGAAACAAACCCCATTTTAACTATCCCAGGTTCTTGAGATTCTAAATTAGTCTAGAATGTGAAAAATGCCATAAAAATAAAAATTTTGCTGGTATATTCAGAAATATGCAGACACACATATATATGGAAACAATTTCAATCTAATTCATGTCAGTTGATAATTTTATTTCTGTTTTGTTCCATTATTCCTACATGGTACATATTTTGATGTCTTAGAATTCTGACAACATTAAAATAACTAATAAGAGGATATATCTTATATATTATACATATATGTATGTATAAGATATATGCCTGTATAAGTAATATATATATATACAACATATTACTGTATATAAATACTGTATTAGGAAATAAGTGATTTTGAATTGACTATCACTCTGTCATAACTTCTAAATACAGAAGAGACTCTTTTACGACTTAGCAAAAGTTCTTTTACTATTGTAACCCTTTTTCATTTTATATTTTAGTGCATAGATCTGAAAAAAATGAATGCAAGAAAGACTATTCATACCAACTAGAACAAGTCATATCTTGAATTCTGCCAATAGGAATAGAAAGTACTCCACCCATATCCTTTGTTCCCCTGCTGCTTACTCATAGTAACTCCTAACTATTTACCTTCCATATGAAAACCAATTACTATGTGTAACAAGCAAACCCATTTCATTGTACAAATTCTTTTATATTTTGTAACACTGTTGGTTTCAAGATTTTTAAAATCAATATGCTTTGCTAATAAAACGAGCATTTTAAGGGAATGAGAAGTTGACATTTCAATCTTATTCCTGAGTATTTTTTCTCCCAACAGAGAATAAGTGTGAGAAGTAGGAAGTGCCCCTGTGCAGTACAGGGTATCAGGCCAGGCTGCTCTGGGGACGCAAGATCCAGAAAGATTCAGTTTCAGTTTTGGTAGAATCAGAGCTGACTAATTGAAATCCATCCGCTTGGGTAATAATAACTTTGCCTTGTGTTTTCATTTGATCACTTTTATTGTCCTGCTCCGTGAACAAATAAACATGCATGACACTGGATGGAATAGATCCCATTGTCTTCATCTTGTATATGAAGATCACATTGGAACATCATTTGGTAGTTATTTTTCTTTCAATTTTTCCCATTTCAAAACTTTAGAATTGGAAGTTGCATCTTCTCTGTTTATAGGTAAACATGAATGTACATGTGTGGTAAAAGGTGGATGGCATGTGTGTGTGTATGTGTGTGTGTGTGTGTGTGCTTGTGTGTGTGTGTGTGTGTGTGCTTGTGTGTGTGTGTCAAAGGAGGATACCAGACGTCAGTTGTTCTCCACTTTTCTCTTTAATTAGGGTTTCTGCCCAGTGAATTCCAGGACTCCCTGAACTCCATCTTCCCTGGACTAGGATGACAGACACAAGCCACTGCATCTGGGCTTTTAGGAGTCTTCTAAGGGTCCCAAATTAAGTGAATTCTCATATTTATATGGTAGACATTTTACAGATTTATCCATCTCTCCATCCCTGGAAATTATATCTTTCATTGTAAATGAATATTCAAACATTTGGAAACATTTATAATTTATATTCCATCCAAGCAAAAAGAAAGTCAATATTAGGGAGATATTTCAAAAGTCAAGACAGGATTGAGGAAGAGTTTGGGGAGAAGGCTGAACATGATCAAAAAGTGTTGTATGAAACTATCAAATAACTAATAAAATTGCATATCCAGACAAGACAAATCTAATTAGATTATAGCAAAAGTTAACAGAGTAAAACCATGTAGACAGTGACATGATAATACTGTGAAATTGCACACTTGGCTGTTTAGTGGTACTTATTCACCTGGTTCAGAGTAATTACCAATACACACTGGACGACATGTCCTAAAGATTGTTTTCCTTTAAAATCATATACTTCTCAAAACGGCCCATCACTCATCAGTTCTGTAAAACATATGTCATTTCCACATAAAGCTACTAACACAACATGAGCAATACCCCGCAAAACGCATGTCCTACATGGTTAAAAACAGGCTCATTCCTTTTGCCAGTTACTCCAGACTATTTCTGAGTTCACGGCCATTCCTACCTGATATTTCAAAACCAACCATTTGAAAGTAATGCTCGATCCATTCACTCACAGTTTGTGATCTTCAGGGTCCTCTTGACTTCTCCGCTCCCTGACCCACCACAGCCGTCCTCGTCATCACAGTCCCCACTAGATTGCTCCAGCATGCCGTCACCACTGCCTGGCTGAAGCAGCTCCCTCGTGTTGGGTTTGGGTGATCTACCCTGTAACAACTGAATATAGACAACAACAGTATATGTAAAGACCACAGGTGCACTTTTCCTTTTCAGAAACTAGGATGCTCATCTTATATGATTTCGCTAGCTCTGTGTAGATCCCTTTCCCAATCAAACCTTCATCATTTAATGCATTTAAAATAATAACTGGAACACTGAAAATTGATGGGAAAAATTTGATATCTGCAAAGAGTGACAGTCTACCTACTAACTCTAATGTGAAGCTTTGGAGAATGCTTTGAAAAACAAAGTCAGGCCTTGTGCTTTGAAGTGGTTTGACCCAATGACCCTGTATTTCTGAATAGGCAGAGTCTAGCCACAGTTAATTGCACTGTTATACAATACAACCCTCATTGTGAAGCCTTGGCTGAGAATCTTGTACCAGTTTTCAAACTGACACTCCATACTTTCTCCAGATACGGAGTGCTAGCACCTCAGAAAAGAATTCACCAACAGGTTTAGCATTCTGGACAGACACATGCATGTCAAGCCATCTAACATTCCAGTGTAGGGGGCATAGAGCAGATTTCAAGTTCAACTTACATTTCTGCAAATTGTTGACTCTTTGCCCTCCACAGTTCTTAATTCTCATGAACTTCATTAGCTCTTAAGAGCAAAATAAATGCCATATACATTATTTTCAGACTAGACTCAATTAATATTTTGAATAATACTGAAAATTTTGGGACTTCTTTGTAATGAGGTGATAATATAAATAGCAGAATTTTTAACTTAAAGGTAAGACTTATAAAAATAATCTTAAATATAGCATTTACTCTCTAAGGCAATTTGGGGGCACATATGACTAAAGTAAGAAAACAGGGCGCTGATGTAAAGGGAGTATCCCTCTGTTGTCCACTTAATGGGGATTTAAATTAGGTTTCTTTGCAAAAGGCTGAGGAGAGAAATTCAGTGGCATTAATGTGCAGTTAATAGTTAGACATTCATATAAATAACAGCATCTCATACTTAAGAGTCCAGAGGAAAATAACTTCAGAACGCTGATGACAAACATGATAACTCTAAGGATACTTAGAACAAACAACTGGACTTTGAGGTTCAGAAAGTTCACAATTAAAAAAATATCAGGTCATAAATACAAAATGTCACAACTTCTTTAAAATTTCTATTTTTCTAACCAAAAATCATGCAAGCAATAACAATTATTTAATTTCCCTTGCTTGTCAGCAGGTCTCAAAGACTATGCCACTAGAGTTAATTTTTAAGAAATCATTTGAAAGTCAAATGAATCAAAACTTCTTTAATGTGGTTAGCATGTTGGTATGTGTGCCGGTTACTGGAGATGGGAGGGTGGGGCAGGGGTCACTGCAATGAAGAAACACATATATACTACTTCTAAAACTCAAACCTGAAGAGATAGAGTCAGGAGAAATGGTTCTATTTTATAGTCTCTATTGCTGTAGAAATGTCTACAGCCAGTAGCCTTTAAGTTACCCTCCCACTTCAATGTGTCCTTTTAAACTATGAATTCCAATGTAAAGCATGTGCTCCCTCTCTCTTCTGGCTGTGGGATTTGGTTGCTGTTCCCTGTTCTAGCAGAGGACTGTGGTCTGTGAGTCTTCCCCTGAATAAATAACCCTTTATTATACTCAATTCTGAGCTAGGGTGGGATTTTTTTTTTTTAGCATCTGTCTTCACTTTATCATTTGTTATTCAAGTATTCTACTGATCACATAGCTAACATTATAAAGGACTTGGACTATGGAGTTCAAAATATTGAGAAATGAATCTTGACTCTCACATACATTCACTATGAAACATGGCTAAAAGTGAATTCCTTGACTATTTCAGCTTTCCCACATCTAAAATAATCACAACAATATCTGTGCGCTATTGTCATCTTGAGAAAAAAATCCAGAAAAGCATAGTAATTTGAAATAAATGTGCCAAAACAATAGATACTAATACAGTCAATTACTATTATCTACTTTATTGCATATTCTTAAAATGCTATTTAAACATCTAGTGTCAGCTTGAAGAACTATCTGATAGGTAATCTAATTATGAGTAAGCCTTGAGTAACAACTACAGCAAAAGCCACACTCTGTGGTTTCTTGCCTAATTCTTTGATGCTTACATTCTTTACCAATATTTTCTCATATCAACTTTATTTTTTAAGGATTCTTCTGGTATTTTACTGGGATCCAGGCCAGAACACAAACAAAATCTCATGAAAAACAATACATAAATCACCATGATCCAAGCCCAAGAATTTGATCTCAAAATTCAAACAGAATGATAGTCACTGTAAAACAGTACTATTTTAAGAAACTTTTTCATTTAAAGTGACTAAGCACATGGTCAGAGAATTATTCATTTATTTGTAGTTGTCACCACTCTTGATGAAATAGGAGCTGGGAGAATGGAGCCAATAAACGAGGCAAACCAAAGTCTCACGAGATAGCCAACTTTATTCAGAGCAATTTATACTGTGAGGGTTTAGAGAAATCAATCATGTTAGTAAAGTTCTCATGACTTCAAGATGTATGCAATCACAAGGTCAAAACTCATGTAGTGCTGACTGCAGTTTCTGTCCCACCCAGTCCCTCAGTCATTCAATCTCAAAGAAACACACAGAGGTGTACATTAATTATAAACTGATTGACCTAATAGCTCAGGCTTCTTATTAACTTTTTCTTATATCTTATATTAGCCCATTATTCTTGTTTGTATTAGCCACACAATTTGGTACCTTTATCAGCAAGGCAGTGGCATTTTGTTTTTTGTTTGTTTGTTTGTTTGTTTTTCTTTTTTGAGTAAATTTTATTAAATTAAAAAGTTTCCATTTCCGCCCCTCTTCCCAACACCCTCCCACTCCCCCCACTCCCTCTCCTCCTCCCTCTTCCTCCCTTAGGGCAGTCAGAGTTTCCTGCCCTGTGGGAAGTCCAAGCTCCTCCCCCCTCCCTCCAGGTCCAGGCAGGTGACTATCCAAACAGACTGGATCCCCAAAATCCAGTATATGCAGAGGAAACAAGTCCCAGTGTCATTGTCAATGACTTTTCAGAAAGACTTCGGGCCAGCCACATTCAGAGAATCCAGCCAAATTCCGAGAATCTGGTTAGATCACATCCTTGTTCAGTCCCAGTCCAACTGGCCTTGGTAAACTCTCATTAGATCCGTTCCCTTGTATCAGTGGGTGATAGCATCCCTCGCAGTCCTGATTTTCTTTTTCATGTTCTTCCTCCTTCTGCTCCTCATTTGGACCTTGGGGGGCTCAGTCCGGTGCTCCAATGTGGGACTCCGTCTGTATCGCCGTCCTTCGCCAGATGAAGGATCTATGGTGATAAGCAAAATATACATCAGTATGGTTATGGGCCACGGCCGGTTCAGGCACCCTCTCCTCTGTCCAGAGAACAATCTGGGGATCTCTCCTTGGACCTGGGATCCCATATATAATCAAGTTTCCTGTAAACCCTAATATGACTCCCTTATTTGAAATATAATCTTCCCTGATCCCATTTTCATCCTTCCTCACACTCCCCCTCCCAGGCCACCGAGCTTTCCCCATTCCTCCCCTACTCCCTTCTCTCTAACCCTCTCCCCTTCCAACAACCCTCCCACCCCCCCCCATGCACCCGAGGTTACCTGGGACTCTTGTCTATTTCCTACCTCCTGGCGGGTAGCTAAATAATCTTCATCAGGTTTATCTTCTTATTTAGCTTCTCTAGGATCACAAATAATAGGCTCAAAGACCTTTAATTATGGTTAGAATCCACTTATGAGTGAATACATACCGTGTTCCTCTTTTTGGGTATGGCTTACCTCACTCAGTAAAGCATTTTCTATTTCCATCCATTTGCATGCAAAATTCAAGATGTCATTGTTTTTTACCGCTGAGTAAAACTCTAATGTGTATATGTTCCACACCTTTTTTAACCATTCTTCTATTGAGGGGCACCTAGGCTGTTTCCAGGTTCTGGCTATTACAAATAGTGCTGCTATGAACATAGTAGAACAAATGCTTTTGTAGTATGTTAGGGAATCTCTAGGGTATATACCCAAGAGTGGAATTGCTGGGTCCTGAGGGAGGTTGACTCCCAGTTTCCTGAGAAACCGCCACACTGATTTCCATAGTGGCTGCACGAGTTTGCATTCCCACCAACAATGGATGAGTGTTCCCCTCGCCCCACATCCTCTCCAGCATAGGCTATCATTGGTGTTTTTTACTTTAGCTATTCTGACAGGTGTAAGATGATATCTCAAAGTGGTTTTGATTTGCATTTCCCTGATCGCTAAGGAGGTTGAGCATGACCTTAAGTGTCTTTTGGCCATTCGGAGTTCATCTGTTGTGAATTCTCTGTTCAGTTCAGTACCCCATTTTTTAATTGGGTTAGTTAGAGTTTTAGTGTCTAGTTTCTTGAGTTCTTTGTATATTTTGGAGATCAGACCTTTGTCTGATGAGGTTTTTGTGAAGATCTTCTCCCAGTCAGAAGGTAGCCTTTTAGTCTTACTGACAGTGTCCTTTGCTTTACAGAAGCTTCTCAGTTTCAGCAGGTCCCATTTATTCATTGCTTCTCTTATTGTCTGGGCTCCTGGGGTTCTGCTTAGAAACTGGTCTCCTGTGCCTATATCTTGTAGACTACTTCCCACTTTCTCTTCTATCAGTTTCAAAGTGGTCAGATTAATGTTGAGGTCTTTAATCCATTTGGACTTGAGTTTTGTGCATGGTGATAGATATGGATCTATTTTCATTCTTCTACAGGTTGACATCCAGTTATGCCAGCACCATTTGTTAAAGATGCTGTCCTTCTTCCATTGTATGCCTTTAGCTCCCTTGTCAAATATAAGGTGTTCATATGTTTGTGGGTTAATACCCGGGTCTTCTATTCGATTCCATATGTCGATTTCTCTGTTGTTATGCCAATACCAAGCTGTTTTCAATACTGTTGCTCTGTAATAGAGTTTGAAGTCAGGGATGGTAATGCCTCCAGAAGTTCCTTTATTGTATAAGATTGTTTTGGCTATCCTGGGTTTTT